AGATAAATGACTACGGTCTAATCTTACCACAAACAATCTGTAATATGATACGTTTAGAAAAGCATCAGAAAAGCAGCTAAATGACCATTGATGAAACTCAAGAACAATAATACTGCAGACGTGTAACGTTAATTACTTCAAAACAAAAACAAAGAAAGACAAAGGTACTGCTAAACCATGACCACCATGCATTTTAAGAAAGTAAAGTACTTTATTTTTATTAACGATATTTACAGCTTATCGAAAATGCTTTGTTCGTCGTCTCCAAAGATAGAAAGAATTTAACGTTACCTCTCATTCAGACAAAGTCAATCGGCAAACCCTTCTGTATAACGTTACTGGCGGAGGTTGTTGAAGTGGGAATCCTTGAAGTGCTTCAGGTCACTAAATCCAAAAACCGCTTTTTACTTGCCCTCTCGTAACTTCTGCATCATTGAACTCGGACTACAAAATCCGAGCGAGAAATAATAATGGCGGATTGCTTGAAGTTTTGGACCGGTAGTCAATGTCTTTATTTGGCAGTTCCTCTGCAAATACGGTGACGCTGTAGTTAAAAAAAAACGTCATAGAAAACAGAAAAATCTGAACAGGTTGAAAAATATGACCAAAACAGAATATAAAGATATAAACGAAGCACCTGAAGAGAAAAATTTCATCTTTTCTGTACTTATAAACACTCCAAATATACAACAAAATGCATTTAAGGGCTAAAAAAGTGGATTTTGCATGATATGTCCCCTTTAAGCGTGGAAGGACATAGGCCTGATACAAAGCGTTCTTGCAGAAACTCGAATACTGTGTTTACTGAACAGTTAACCGGATCCCACTGATGCTGGTAACACCAAGAAGTGAAAAACAGTTTCCTCATAGCGGGAACTCTGGAGCTTAGAATGGTTTCAACAACCTCGGTTGAGATACCACTTGGGGCCAGTGCTGCATCTACGTGCTTCGTGAATGTGTGGGGTGATAGAGCTAGACCGAAAGGATAATGGCTGATAATGGTGTTCTTTGCCCCTGAAAGAAACCCTCTGGAACCTCCTGTGCTGAGGTAGGATGGAAATATGGAAGTATGCGTCTTCAGATCTATCGTGACAAACCAGTCCTCGGATCTGATTTCAGTCACGATCCATTTGAGTGTCAGCATTGGACTTGAGTTCCAGCACCAAACACTTCAGTGACGCAGTTCTCCATCCTTTTCTGGAACAATGAGATAACTACTGTAAAGACTGTAACTACGCATCGAGGCGACGCAGACAGCAAGGGCTGTTATTGGTCAGATTATACATAATTTCAGGAGTGTAGCTTTTCCGGTTTCCCCCTCCCGCTATAGCGCCGTTTTTAACATTTGCACCCTCGTACGGATAATTATAATTTCATTGTTAATATATATTAGCCTGACTTAATCATACTCATATTCTATTGAGAATATGAGTCTGAGACCGCTCCGTAGGGCTTTGATTATGAGGCGTGTCTTAACCGAACCAGGAAAAAAAAAACCTCTGCACTCAATTGGATAGTCGGACAGACCTACAGCCAATCAGAGCAGCGCAGTAAGTCAAATACTTTGCATAGCATAGTTGTCAACAACAGAACTTACTTATTTTAGAAGTAAAATAACGAGTGTTGCTTCTTTCACTTGGTCCTTCATGAGTGCGACCAAAGCAGGAACCACAACGACCACAGGCTTTTCATTACATCCTATCTTCTTAACTTAGCGACCGTCAGAGCCAGCTGATAAGTTACACTTTTGCCGAATATCTTTCCGAACGACAAATGCCTTGATTGCAGTTTTCTGTTTGTCTATTAAAATTAATGCGCTGTCGATTAATTTTAAAAACAGACACGACAGCGGAATCTATACATCTCAATTCTCCAGCTGCAGTCATCTCTGAGGTAAACCAGTTAGCTGCAGATCATCTGTCCATCATCGTATAAAGCCCGCCCTGGCAATCTGATTGGCCCGATCATTTTTTGCCTGATCATAATTACTCCTCAATGGATCGAGTCCAGACCGAACTTCCCGACCAAAAAATGTTGCTTTTTTGTTCACAATAAACTTCAATCAATCAATAAATCAGCGTTTGTTTTGAAACACAGTTTGTTGTTTATTTTCAATACAATGTTCACGGTTAACTTACAACATTGATTATACAGTAACCATGACTGCCACTGGACACACTAAATTATCCTGCCATGGCCCAGTTCCATGTGGAGATGGGCATGGGTGGAACGGGCCCTGGACCGTTGTGTCGTCTTGTTATTCAACGTCGATTAGCTCCATAGACATATACACTAGACGTCACCTTGGCTAAGGCAGTTCATTGGAACGAATGCGTCAATAGAGCCGCCATCTTGAAACAGGAGAGCCCCTCCACTTTAATGCATCAGCGTCAATGTAGTAGACACAGGTCTAGCGGAAATAAAATCACCATAACTCATCATGAATGCGATTTTTCTTGTTTTTTTGGTTTGTTCCAACGGTCAGACATGTATTTATCATTGATTCCAAAAAGAAAAAAAATATATATTTTTTTTAAAAAACATTCTTTCTAGTTCAGATTTCATCCGTGAACATCATACGCTGCACAATAGTCCGCCACCATCAATGAATTCGAAGTAAAGGCAGAGATAGCAGCCTTACCTAGCTACTTCCTATGACAAGACCCCTGTTCCAAGATGGCGGCGGTTTTGACGCATGCTTAGAGCCCCAAGGTGAGGTCTAGTGTATATGTCTATGGATTAGCTCCAGCTGCAACAACATTCTCCCTCTTTCGCTCGTGGCGCACGGAACCAAAACAAACTAGCAAAAAAATTTGCGAACCACACACCCTAGCGTTCTGGCGGTGAAATGCACCGTGATGAAACGCAACCTGACTCGGAAGCATAAAAGGGCCACGACGCCGTAGTGACAACGTAGCCGTGGAGTTGACGCAAAAGCATAATGAGGCCTTTAAGAGCTAAGATACATTGTTATTGGGAAACCCGGCCCTGGACGGTACGCTGGGAGTTGGAAGGAAGTAATATATGATGTATTACAGTTTGGAAGTAACTTGCACAACACTGATTATAGGAATGCATTATAAATAAAGGCATTCAGTAAAGTTTTACCATTTTTATTGTTATATAATTCGATTTAATCTTTATCTTATATTGATGTTTTAATGCTTTTGAAAGAAGTCTCTTATGCTCTTCAAGCCTGCATGTATTTGATGAAAAATACAGAAAAAAAACAGTAATATTGTGAAATATTATTACAATTTAAAATAATGGTTTTCTATTTTAATATACTTTACACTATAATTTATTTCTGTGATGCAAATCTAAATTTGCATTACTCCAGTCTTCAGTGTCACATGATCCTTCAGAACTCATTCTAATATACTGATTTGATACTCAAATCTATTATCATTGTTGGAAACAGTGCTGCTATTTTTTTTTATAACTTGTGATGCCTTTTTTCAGGATTCATTTATAAATAAAAAGTTAAATAGAACAGCATTTATTCAAAATATAAATCTTTTCTAACAATATAAATCTATACTATATTTGTAAAAAAAAAAATCAATTTAACGCATCTTTGCTGAATAAAACTTTCATTTCTTTCAAAAAAGGAAGACTTTTTTTTTTTTTTTTTTTTTTTTTTTTTTACAGAACCCAAATATTTGGACGGTGTATGCAGTTCTTTTACATTTTTATTAATCAAAGATTCCTAAAAAAATCACATGTTATTAAAAAATTAAGCAGAACAACTGTTTCCAATATTGATAATACATCAGCATTAGAATGATTTCTGAAAGATCACGTGACACTGAAGACAGGAGTAATGATGTTTAAAATTCAGCTTTGCTTAACATAAGTTATATTTTAAATTATATTAAAATAGAAAACAATAATTTTTAAATTGGAATAATATTTCACAATGGGCTCTATGCACGGCGGTATTTCCGGTGAAGCATTAGGGATGCTCGATAACTTCCGCCGATCATAGAGTCCAATGCAATACCGAGAATTTATATTGAATTTTATACTCCATGGTTATACTAATGAAACGTTAGTCACAAAAACAGATAAAACAGACACCCCTCGTTGTGTTTATGCTTCTTTTTAAAATTATATTAAATAAACATAACTATATATAAAATTACATCTAAACGTATGTACGTTTCGTTTCAAAGACGGGAGGACAGTAAATATTGAAGACTCTGCCATAATCCCGTTTTCTCCGGTTTTCCTCCGCTTTAATTTACACAACCGGAAATGGACGAGCATCCTTGCGTCAAATGCGGAACTTATGCGTGCATATAGCCCATAGTACAATACAATACATAGTAGCCTACAATATTTCACAATAGTATTTTTTTTCTGCATTTATGATCAAATAAATGCAACCTTGGTGAGCAGAACAAGTTAAAAAACATAAAAATAGTAATGTTTCCAAACTTATGACTGTGGTACAGAGTACAGATCTTTTTTCAATTTTCAGAATGTGAAATTCAGATAAATTAAATTCAGATAAAAAAAATAATGCAAAGCCCATTTCATGTAGCTAGTAGGTTTTGAACATCGATGAAAGCACAACGAATTGTAGTTCATTGTTAAATGTAAATCAACATTAAGTTGCCTTGACAATTAAATTGACTGATGTTAGAAAATGCTATTTGAATTGGACATACATAGCCTAGTTTTTGTTTGCTTGTTTTTACATCGTGGACCCATGTCTCAAGCCTTCCCAAAGTTAAATTAGAAATATGTGAATTTATCTACATTGGTTGAATATTGGAATGCCCATGAAAAGTCATTGACCTGTTTCAGATTTCAAAACTGTGAGCTACCTTTCATTAACGTCGCAACCAAGTAAACTGTTTACAAGTTAATAATCTGTTCGTTAATTTTTAAGTCATAAAATGGAAAAATGGTTATAAAAGAGAAAACGAAAAGTGTTTTTTTTTTAAAAATAAAATACCAAAATACATAAAAGCTGTCCTGCAATTTGTGCTTACCTTATAAACGTTGATGGGTATGTCTATCACAATATGCAACAGGTCCCCGAGAGCCAGACTTGCAATGAGGATATTAGGACCGTTCCGCATGCATTTATTTTTATAAATGATTCTGAGCAGCGTGGAGTTTCCGATTATCCCAACAACAAACACAAGGCATGAAACCACGGTGTTAATATACTTGAAAGTATCCCTAATTTCAGTGGGACCAGTGCACATAGGCGGCAAAACTCTTGGTCGTGGCATGGACTCATTGACCACATTGTATTTTCCAAGTGTTGATATGAGAGTTGGAGACACAGGACCCGTGGAAAATTGCCTCTCATTAAAATCCTTCCCTTGAGCACTTATCAAGACGAAGTGTCCAGACAGGAGAAAGAGCAAACAAACAACGCATCTCGTGTCCATCGTTTATATAAAAAGGTAGTCTATTTGTTAAAAAAAAAAAAAATGTGGTAAAACTGTCATGAATTTTATCATTAGACTGACAGGAAGCCAGAGGTCTGGTGCTAGAATTACAAAGACTTAAATAAATGGCAATAGCAGCTATCTTCAAGATAATAGGCTATTGTTTGAAGATTAAAAAGATAGCAAAAACGCGTATTTGTACCCTTCGCAAGTTATTCGTATTAAAAAAATCGAGAGAAATTACTTGGCGTCTCCAGACAAGTTAATCCATCAGAACTCCAGATGATTTAATTTAGCGCACATTTCCTTCAAAACGCAAGAATATGTTTCACATAACCACAACGTTACGCTTAAATGTTTTATCCCTGTTGTATGTGCAGCGTTTCCTCAGACTTCTCTCCCCCTGGCCCACTCACTCAAAATTGACATTCAGAAAGGACCACGCATAGTATAAGGAGGGATGGTGACCGCGTGCATGTAATTACCCAGCAAACATGGTTCTGACTACGTCGCTATTTAGTCGTCCTTTGGTTAGCGTGACATTAGGCTTATTTGAGATGCGCCTCGCCTGAAATTTAGGCGGCTGCAGTAGGCTAAAGGAGGAGTGAAGTAACCCTTGTGAAAAAAGTGCACTTTAGTGTACTTTTATGAAGTGTACTTATTACAAAAATAATATACTTTAACACTTAAGTGTGAAGTAAATGCAATATTTTCGCCGCACTGAATGCACATTAAGTATAATTAATTTCAAATATATCATATATTAAGATAAAATAAAATGCAATAAGTTGTCATTAAGAGTGATTTTTTGGTACAACTTATTTGGTACTTTAATACAACTTTATATTTACTTTCATAATTGCTTCAAGTGTATTTAAAATACAGTTAAAGTGCACAACACAATATAATGACTTGCAATTAATGTGATTTAATTAATGTGATTTAATTAGTGTGAATTAAATGCAATGTTTTCGCTGCACTGAATGCACATTAAGTGTAATTGATTTAAAATATAGGGTGAATTGCCCTAATCTGGGACATTTTTTGCACTTCAGACTTCTGTGGCATATTGCGATGTGTAACCAAAACATTATATCCACACCCAATACCTTTTTAAAAACCCCATTATGTGTCCTAATCAAATCAAAAGAGAAAATTCAGATAACCCATTCATAAGAGAAATTACAGAAATATTAGTGCTCTTATTGCAAGTTGTCTGAGAAAATCGGCAGCTTCCTAATGTGGGACAGTTGTGTTCCTAATATGGGACACTGAAAAATCTATGATAAAAGACCAAAAATCACATTGATATATGTAGAATAGTAAAATCTTATTTTATTTTAGATTCTTTTTTAAATCTTAGTCAGTCATTTTCTTGGTTATTGTTACGAATCTGCTCTGAGAAGAGGGTTGAGATCCAAACGCAGCTTTATTTGAGGGAAATCCAGAGGCGTAATCCAGTGTAAGGCATAAAGACCCCTCGGGCGGCCACTGCGGTGAAGAACCCACGGGCGGCCATGGCGGTGAAGAACCCACGGGCGGCCATGGCGGTGAAGACCCCTCGGGCAGCCACGGCGGTGAAGACCCCTCGGGAGGCCACGGCGGTGATGCCCTCTCAGGACCAGACACCGGCTCGGGACCAGACACTGGCTCAGGAACAGACACTAGAACAGAAATGGTCACAAGGACAGACACAAACACAGAAACAAACACTGGATCGGGAGCAGACAGTGGGTCGGCCATCTTGTCCGGGGACACTGGGTCGGCCATCTTGTCTGGGGACACTGGGTCGGCCATCTTGTCCGGGGACACTGGGTCGGCCATCTTGTCCGGGGACACTGGCAGAAGGAACATGAACAGTCTCTGAATCGGCTATCTTGTCATTAACCACTGGCTTGGAGGCGGTGGCGTGAACAGTCTCTGAATCGGCCATCTTGTCCATAGACACTGGCTCGAAGGCGGCCATCTTGTCCTTAGACACTGGCTCGGAGGCGGCCATCTTGTCCGTAAACACTGGCTCGGAGGCGGTGACGTGAACAGTCTCTGGATTGGCCATCTTGTCTTTAGACACTGGCTCGGAGGCGGCCATCTTGTCTTTAGACACTGGCTCGGAGGCGGCCATCTTGTCTTTAGACACTGGCTCGGAGGCGGCCATCTTGTCTTTAGACACTGGCTCGGAGGCGGCCATCTTGTCTTTAGACACTGGCTCGGAGGCGGCCATCTTGTCTTTAGACACTGGCTCGGAGGCGGCCATCTTGTCCTTAAACACTGGCTCGGAGGCGTTGATGTGAACAATCTCTGGCTCGGCAGGGCTGACGGTGAGCGCAGGCTCGGCAGGGCTGACGGTGAGGACAGAGCTTAACCGAATGGCAATGTCAATATATTGAGCTAGAGTGAGGGGTATTGTCAGGCATGAGGTAATTAAGAAGCTCATTCAGTCCATTTCGAAAAATGTCTTTTAAGACAGCATCTTTAAAGTTCACCCCATGGCTAAATTCATAAAAATCGTCGACAAAATCCTCAATTGGTCGGTTACCTTGACTGAGGCGGAGGCGTAATCAAGTGTACAGGCAAGGGTCATACACAGATAGGCAGTCCAAAACAGAGAAACAAAGAAACAAACAAAACAGGCAGGGACCAGTGGCAAGAGAGAAATCCAGGGAACAGGGCACAATATCAAAAACCAGGAGACAAGAAAACCACAAGAACGCTCAGAAGTGCAGACACACAGTACAACAAGACTTCGCAGTGAGTGAATGTGAACACAAGGTATATATAGACAGATTAACAGGATGAGACAGGTAAATGCAATCAGTGAATGAGGTACAGGTGAATGTGATCAGTGATGATGAGTCCGGGCAGTGAGTTCTGGGAAATGTAGTTGTGAGTGAAACATGAACATCTGGTGTGGAGTGCCCTCTGGTGACTCTCAAGGGCACTCCACCTGGTGACCATTACAGTTATGAATGGATAAAGCATGTAAAATAACAATATTTTTAGTTATATTATCCATTTCCAGTACCATATCACAATCCATAAACAAGACCATTATATCAGTTATAGTGATTACACACACCTATAGTGGTTAAAACACCTAACAAATAAAAAAAATAATTTGGTATAATTACAACTTAAAAATACATTTACAATTGTTTCTGTTTCCTATACAAAAACAGCATAAAGGAGAAACCCCTTCTTTAAATTTACTGATAAAATCATTGCATGGATAATATCTTTATTATTTTAAAATGAGTTTCTTTGACTTATTTATTAGGAATTACATATTTATTAATATCTGACCAAAAAATCTGAAAAACGGTAATGCAAATCCCGTTTCTATTTCATCAATGCCTTATGTGAAACATTTTTTTCTTTAAGATTTGTCTAATATAAACATTATTAATATTTGTATTAAAATTAAAAAAAAAAATTAGAGGGTTAGTTCACCCAAAAATGAAAATGAAGTCATTAATTACTCACCCCCATGCTGTACCAACCCCGTAAGACCTTTGTTCATCTTCGGAACACAAATGAAGATATTTTTGATTAAATTTGAGAGCTGTATAACTACCACATAGGCTCCTAAGGGAATGACTCTTGTCGGCCCAGAAAGTCAATGAAGAAAATGTTTAAATATTCCATGTGACTACAGTGGCTCAACTATAAGTTTATCAAGCGACGAGAATACTTTTTGTGCGAAAAACAAACAAAAATAACGACTTTATTCGACTATTCCTTTTCTTCCTTGTTGGCCTGAAACAAGACTTTAATAGATTTCCACGACGCATGCGCGAGAATTGCGATCTCCTTTAACCAGAGATTAGGCTTGTTTGAGATGAGCAAAATCGGCAAAATCTGCGCAGAATCGATCACCGGTTATCAGCGCGAGATGCATGCCGGTTAGAAATGTGTCCGAGAACGGTCCGCCTGGCTCTGATGTCATGCCGACGTATGTCAAAAACTCTCGCGAGCGCAAGGCGGAAGGGTCGGATTCTGCAGTTGCTTTTTTTTTTTAATTATTATTATTTTTCATTAAATGCTCGTAAAGGAAAACACAACAAACAAACAAACAAACAAAAAAACATAAACCACAATTGTTGTCATTGTCATAACCACTGGCGTAGGAACCGGGGGGACGTGTCCCCCTCAATATTGAAAAATGTGGCATGTGTCCCACCCAAAAAATTGCATACCTAACTTTTATTTTTAATGCGTGACAAAGAAGAGATTCGGTTTTGCCAGCCAAGTCAAACCCAGAGTGATAGTTAGGTTAAACCCTTAAACCTTCCCATTTCATGTTTGAATAATCACCATTCGCTTCATGTATTTCACTCACCGGAGCATCTGATTGGCAGAGGTGGAAAGAGTACTGAAAATTTGTACTCAAGTACAAGTACAAGTAGTTGCTAAAATAATACTTGATTACAAGCAAAAGTACTGGTGTTAAAAATGTACTTAAGTAAAATTACAAAGTACCCCTCTCAAAAACTACTCAAGTACTAATTACTAATTACTTTTAGCCTGTGATATTTATTTACTTTTATGGAAACCAAGTTATAAAAATGGTCTAATATGATTATTATTATTAATGAATTATAAAGCAAAATAAATAAGCTCATTGGGTTATTTTATTCATAAACTTTTTTTTTTTCTTCTTTTTTTTTTACAATAAAGATTTCCAAAAGTACCCTACGAATATTTCAAAAGTTTCAAAAGTTATCAGCATTTAGCACTGACACAAATGTGCCATCTAGACAGACTGTCAGTTAGTGCAGTTACACTGTTATGCCAGTGGGTCATGGCCGGCAAGATACTCTTTTTATGAAAGTCATTATTAAACTCTTCATTCTAAGCTTAAAACACAGATTCAATATTAATAAAACAGTGTGTTGACAATGACATACAATATAACTTTTTAATCTAACTTTACAATGCTAAATTTTTATTACGGTATATGTGCTTGTCACCTGAGTAACGCTGAAGCCCATGTTTCAAGTGATGTTTTTAGTCAAATTATCATGAGGTCTACCCAACTTTAAAAAAACAACAACAACTGAATTATCACATATCACTGCAGAAACAAAGTTTCTATAAAACATCTCCTGTCCTTCCTCTGTATAAGAACAACTCCTCCATGTGGGGTCATGGGCACTCATCATCTGGTATTTCTTCAGAATTTTCAATGAATTCAGCGTCTCGAATCTCCATGTCCATAACGTCAAAGTTCTTTGATAACACTAAAATACAAACTGAAGGACGTGTGAGGACGAATATAGCTCTCCAGAAACCGGGCTTTTTTCCCGCTCCAAAGGGTTTTTATTGGCCCGCCCACGATCAGTTATTTCCATTGGATACCCAAATGCTGGTCAAAGATTTGAATAATTGTTGAATTCAAATTTTACAAGTACTTTGTAATTAATGGGATTTTTAAAGTAGTGAAGTACATTA